GATCATTCTATTAACGATTTCGTTTTGTTATACTCGACTATAGTGAGTTAAATATAAAATAATTTGTATTTTTGAGGATACCTTTAGAAGAACAGTCCTTAACTTTAATTATCCTCTGAGCTTTCTTATAACATTTCACATTAACTTTACAACATCCACAGTATTTTGTATAATTCCTTTTTCAGATCCCAAAAGTTGCCAAATGTTAAAAGTGTTTGTTTTAGACTTGATTGTGTTTGAAACGTCTCTATTTACTGCCGCCCTGCAGAGGCTTGGAAGACAGGTTACATTGATGATACCCGTGTTTTTATCTTATTCTGAAGAAGACATTGTAGTCTATACGAAATGAAAGCTTTTTTTCCTGATATTTCTAGTATATAAGACAGCGGGTAAGGTCTGAGTTGGCTTTTGTTTGCCCTTAACTAGCTAGCTTGACTGGTTTTCGTGAATACCATGCGTCATCAGAAACTCTGAATTCACTGAAACTGGGCTATAGGCGAACAAAAGAGAGATTAAACCCTAATCGTTCCTCTCTTTACTAGGAATGGTATAGAAAAGCCAGCGTTCTTGGAGACTCGTAGGTTTTCTTAGACGCTCCGGCGATCTTATCGAGGTAAGTCATTGGTTAAATGGTTGGAGTCTTAGAAGATGTCTGTTAGCTGAACCGTACGCTCAGCTCTTTTCCTAACAATAATTAATCTCTGACACAAGTATACAACAATGTGTTAAAGGTTAATATGGAATCTTAGCAAAATCGTTTTGTAAGGCTTAAATTTAATAAAGAGGAAATACAATGCAATACAATATTAGCCATAGTAAATTTTTTTAAACATATAATCTTATAAGGTATATTGAGTACTTGTTTTAGTTGTTGGATAAATTGCGTTACAATAACTGTGGGATAATTAGTAAAAACCCAACAGAGTCTGTTTGTTTCGTTTAGCTACACAATGGACTATTTGTGCTCTGTTCATCGCGGGGGATTGAACCATGGATTTTGGCATTGTAAGTCCGCTGACACAAGGGGAGAACGTTAAAGTTTGCATGATTAACAGTCAAAAACATTCCATAACTTCAGTAGGTCAGCATATATTATAAGCATCTTTTAAAGATATAGCTTTTGAGTTCTCAAGCTATTTATATCATGACATGTTTATGTTAACAAATCATGTTTATGACATGTTAATTTTCACAAGTCACGTTTATGATATGTTCATGTTAACAAGTCATGTTTATGACATGTTCAGTTTAAAAAATCATGTTCATGACATGTCCATATTAACAAATTATGTTCATGACATGTTAATCTTGTGACGGATTTATTATTATGTATTTATTTTAATATTGATGTTTGTTCAAATTAAATTTATATTTAGAAATGTACATAACTCATACTTTTAAGTATGTATTGCGAAACTCTCGCCTATTCTCTAAAGTTATAAAAGATTCTCGAGTGTAAGAATCAACAATATATGTGTGTACGTAAACGCTACATTTAGCGTCAATATTGTTAAGTAAACTGAAATTTCGAGAAACTCTTCACACGCCTATAAATATAACTAACATAACGCGCCAAAAAAAACAGTATCTATTATTGGTTTGCTATAAATTTCGGT